TTAAGACAGTGGGCTGTTTTCCTCCCTTCTCCTATTTTGTCTTTGATGTCAATGTGTGTTTCGCTCCAGAACAAAATGCACAACAGCCAATGAATAATGGAGCCAAGCGCAGCACAGCCACCTTCTAATCTCAGCAGGCCTGCAGCCCAATGCTTCAAAGCTTCACCAGCCCCCAAATCCACGGCAACAACACCACAATTATCATACACTATCACCACAGCAACAACAGCTCCATAATGTTGAAGCATCAGGACTGCAATGACAGCAGTATGGTGCTACATCACCGACACAACAACAGAATTAGAATTACAGAACAGCTTTACAGTGCGACCACGATATTACAGCTACACAAACAGAAGACCGCAAATTGCTGTGAAAGTTATGGGACCCCATTATGTTGGCTTCATAAATTTAGACCTGCTGCAATGTGACACGTCTGGACAGGACTTCTCCTCTTGGGGGCCTACCTTCTGCACTGGCTTTATAGGCTACACAGAAGATTTGGTGTTTGGTTCAAAGAGGTCATTGGTCCTTCACTGGAGGACTTTACTAGAGCGCAGTGAAAACAAGCTGACTCCACATCCATCACACAACAAAAACAGACAGATAGGAGAGGATAGTGGCTGTTGGAAAGCATGTGAATGAGCTCAAGCATGATTTAGTGTGACATGGGTGACGTGTCTCAGGTGGTGTTATGAATCGCCAAGAGAAAATTTCATATGGAAAGGACAGGTGGAGGTACTGTCAGCTGGTAAGAAGTCCTGCTTTGTCAAGGGATTAAATGTAGAAGTGGTGGTACTGAGTAATCGAGAGTCTCAGCCCACTTAAAGCACTAAGTACAACACTAAGTATACAGTTAAATGACAGCTCCATTGCCCTGCATGTTTAGAAACACTGACTGATTATATTAACAGGGTCTTTTTTCACCCTTCCCTCTCAGCACAGCAGGTTTGCAGTTGATGCGCTGTCTCAGAGTCCATGATGTAGTCAGTTAAATTAACTGTTTAAAAAAAGAACATTGGGTTATCTTTCTTATTGTCGCGGAGATAACAGCAGGACATGAATGCTGTCAGGCTTTGCTAAACAAAAGCAGGAGAAAAACACTGTCTTAATTCAAACGAATGCCAGGGAAGACAGGTAAAAAAAGCAGCCCCCGTACTGACAGGGGGTGGGAATTAACAGTCAAACAGAGCATAATAGACGCAAGGGAATCGGCATTACAGTATAACACAAGCTGAGCAGGATGAAGATCAGAGAAATTTGTACCACAATGACTTACCAGTTGAGCAGAGAGGACTTTGCAGAGTTTATAGCCAGATATAAATGTCAACAAAGGATCTTCAACAAACACCTGTCCTCTATCACTCAGAATATTTTCCTGGGCTGTCTCTTAGTGTAGTGATATATCAAGGATTTAAGTAAAATCATCTACTTGTTTAATTCGCGCGAAAATATAGTATATACTCACTTCAAGCGCACATCAGTAATTTCAACGGTAATCCCTGCCAGGTAATCCGACCTCCTCACTCACTTGCCTCCAGGTGAGCTCCTTTTTATTCCGGTTTCGGTAATTTAAAAAAAGGGTATCATATAGTTCAGGGCACCCACACGCTGACACGATCAGTTTTTCCTCTGTTATAGATACAGATGAACAACCTTCCATTTTCATATATCACTTGGCAACCTTCCTGCTGATTGGATATTGTGACATTAATATCTGCGCTTGTTGTGGTTGTGACATTTTCAGCTCCTGCCCAATTTGCGTTATTTGCACCACCAGAGTAGTACAAGCATCTTATCGCGTCTTTGCATTGACTAAACATGTAATCCTGTCACGCAAATAATTTCACTTTTGCTTGGTGTGTGGAGACAGTAAGGGGACAGGTGCAGATTAAATATTAATATTTATGTCAATGACATGATTTCTTGTCATGCTCTTTTTAATGCAGATGATACTGTCTTGTATTGCAGTGCTGATTGTGAACAGAAAGCTGTCAAGAATTTGCGAATAGTGAATATTAAAATATGTAGATTTCTGTAAGAGTCACTCAGATTGAATATCTCTGCATAAAGCTTAATGGACATTTTTCATTCAAATTTAATGTCAACACTTATGTTTATTCAGTGGGATAGAAACGTGGCTACCAGTTTTCGTCAAAGTGAGTTTCATCTGTATTAGGTAATATTATACACAGACATGCTGCAGTGTCACCTCTTAGACCCCCTGGGCTGGTTTACCAATCTGCACTCAGATTAATGGCCGGTGACATTTTCAAGGTTTTATTGGTGAGCTATCTCCAGCGTTCTCAACAATTTTGAAAATGAGGGAAACCTTGATGTCCTTTCAAGAATAAACAAAGCTTCGAATGACTGAATTTGATAATGGTAATTCAAAATGTGGTTGTTCTCTATGGCTGGAATCCCTTAATATTACAGGTGAGCAGCAGAAAAAAAGTTGGTTCCCTAAATTTCCAACTCAAGACCTAAGGATTGGGTATATGATCCATCTGAAAACACATCAAGTTACTTCAGAATCTGGGTTCAGGATAACCTGATGTTCAGTTTGTACAAGCACACCAAACAGCTGCTGTACTGAACCCGTTAAGCTGGAATAGAGAAGGGGAACCAGAGGAATACAATGATAGCAGCAGAGGGCAACGTTGTTTCAAAGCAATCATCATGCTTATCATGGAATCAGTGATAATCCCCTCATATAAACAAGCAAATGAGCAAGACGGCTGTGAGTAGGATCTTCCATTAGGCTAATCATGCAGCGCGCCACTCTTCCAGACGTTATTTCATTACAGCACGCCGCCTTTGTTTGCATAAACACCTCTGAGGGATATCTGATTGACAGAGTTGAAATGATAAGAGGCAGCTTCGTTTGAGCCCGGCTGTTTGTTCAAAGGAACACAGCTAACCGTCTCTGTTGTATCTCTCTTTTCTCTTGGAGCCTGTTTATCTTAGGCCTCACTTCCAACCAACCTTCCCCTCCCCCTCTGTCTTTCTGCCAACTATGGGGGACACAGCCAATAGAGATGATGAGAAAATGCCTATGGTTACCTCGGTAAAGTTCTGAAGTTACCAATCTGAAGGAAACAAAATGTGTATATAAAAGCAAAGCAGATGTTGAGGCTCACACAATAACAAACAGCAGTTTAAAGTTGCCATGAAAGAGTTAGCAGAGCCATTTGATTCAACATGTTTCTGTGTTTTCTGTGACAACCTGTTCACTCGAGCCAAATTCATTTTCCCAGGCTGAAAAACTGAATAAATAAAGCAGGAAGAAAAGGCAAATAAACAACATTGACAAGCAAAACATGTTTGAGAAAACCCACGGGCTACCCCGTATGTTCTGTGAGTTGAAATTTAAACAACAACATTAACAGTCCAAATGACATGACAATTTCAGACATTTCAGCGAACATTAAACCAACATATGCCCAGAATTAAAGAAGAATTATCAGTATTTCATGATTTTTAGGACCAAGACCAGGTTCTTATGCAGAGAATGATTGATACGAGACAGATGCAAGAAAAAAAAGATTAACTTTACTGTCAAAGAGTCACACACCTGGTCCATCTGACACTCATGCTTATTCTCCACCAAAAAAAGGCACTGTAAACACACTGCCCAATTTCAACAACTGCAGCTTTGAAAGACGCTCAATCCCCAAAAAAGTCATGGACTCAGTCAGGTCTTCTCCTTTTCCTCCTCTGTTATCTTGTCTGTTGATTGTTGGGGGAATACACACTGTAGAAACAAACATCAACTTGTTGAATTAACACAATTTTTGGTAACTTGTCATGTACACTTGTTATTAACAAGTAAGTTGTACTTTTTGGTCATTAGAGCCAAAGCACTTAATTTTCTTGAGTCATTTTAATCAAATTAAGTAATTAGAACTTTTTTATTTTTTCCCAGTGGTTGAATGCTGAATTTATGTTTATCCATGACACTTTTGTTGGTTGATTTAATCACATAACGAAGCATACCCTGTTGTTACTTTTTGTGGGAAACTTAATTTTATTGCTGTAGCTAATTTGAATGTAGAAATGACACATGGTTATTTTTCACTCTGTGTCTTTGTCTATAACCAGAGCCTTTCAAAATTATTCATGTCACAAATTTCCACAGTTTATTCATTGTCACCACATGATTCAACAGGTTCATTGCTTTAAATAAATTCAAGATTTGTGTCATTTTACAGTTGAAATGGGTTTTGTCATGATTTTCTTCAAGTAATTTGATGTTTGTTTTCCTCCTGCCCCTCATTTAGGCAGAAACTAGTGGTGATCCACCAGGACTGCACAACTCCAGTCTGAAAAAGTATTGCAATTCCCATCTACACACTGAACTCGTCATCATTCACCATGAATCCAAGCAAAAGCATTTGGTCGCTCTTCATATCTGCCTATGATTGAGTGCCAATGACATACAGCATTTACAGTACACATACTAATGGCCACAGAATTTAGCAATGGCCTTTCCTAATATTACAACCTCTCTCCCTCTTCATGGGTGAATCAACACTCATGTCAGGAAGTGCTTCCCCCTCTCGCACTGTTGTGGCTGCGGCAGCGCCACTCAGTACGTTTACATGACACTTGAGAAAACCGAATTATTGCCTTACTCTGATTAAGACATGACAACTGAAGTGCATGTAAACACCTTAGTCTGACTGTAATCAGAGTTTGAGAACTCTGATTAAGACACCCAGATAACGCAACTGGAATTCCATGTAACCAGCATAGTCGGACTATGATCGGACAGTACATGTGCGTGTGCGTAAACCCGGAACAAAACTATCATTTAAAGAACTTTCGACTCAGAAGCAACTGCAACATGGCTGAAGCACGAACGAATGTCCACTTTTGTAACGACAAGGAGAGTGCCGTTATGCTTTCCCTCCTGAAAGATATGGACATCATAAAGTATATGGACGGTCGCAAAACGAAGAACAGAGAAATCTTTGAAAAAGTCCGGAAACAGCGCAACTAAAAGACCCATTTTGCCCCCTAGTTTGGGGGAGGAGTACATGTTCACGTCAATAATTCAATTCAGTAACTCGATTTTCTCAGCTGCATGTATACACCGACAAGGAGAGAAGTCGGATTTGGCAGAAGAAAAAAAAAAGAAAAAAGAACTATGAGCTTAGTCTGATTAAGCTGTGCATGTAAACGCACTCACTGTTAGTTTCTGAAACTGGTTAATATTGTCAACTAACATTAGTTGGCCCATAATTGTCCTTATACTCTTAGCCGCAAGCAGCCTGGTCAGCAACTTGCTTAGCCAAAGACTTCACGTGAGCATACAAACATCAGCAGCAGCCGTCCAGTGTAAACCACGTCAACTTTAATTGGACTTTGCAGAACAAGCAAACTTAGTTCACCTTTGGGAAAGAAAGCAGTCAACAGCTGCCTCCCCTCATTCTGCCTTCTTTCTTTTTCTTTCCTCTCTTTCTTCTTTTCATGCCCCGATTTACGCTTTTTGGGCAACATGATGTCTAACCCCCGGGTCATTCAATCTCGGCTAACTGACATTACACTTGTCGCCAGTCGGGTGAACTAAACCATAAAGTAAAACAGGTGAGGTGCTTTCAGTGACACAGTTTAATTATTTTTATCTTTTTCACCCACAATCAGAGACTTCACCACAATCTCAGCTGAGTCAGAAACATAAAAAAAGTTGGACAAATGAATGTGATTATTATTGAAGTGATTGAAAAGCTCATAACATGTTGATCTGCCAAAAGTGTCATTATAGATCTCTTTACAAACACACTGATGTAACAGAAGCAGACAGCATTATCCATCGATGACATGAATGCAAATATTCAGCAAACAGAGAAAGCACAGATCATTTGAAATGTATTTGGGGACAACTGGAAAGACTTTAGAGGGTTGGATTTGGGACAGGAAATAAGGTGGTACTTTTTTCATCTTGTTTGTTTCTCAGAAGTTAAACTAGTCTGAGCTCTGATCTCAAAAACATGTGTGTGTCAGCAGGATCTGCTCAGCACAGGCTGGTTACACCCAGCCTCAAGGGGAGGGAAAAAGGAAGTGAGGAGAACAAGGAAGTGTGTGTGCAGAATGGAATGTGCTGTGTGAGAGACGAGGAAGGGAAATCCAGCTCTTGTAAAAACCAGGAAGAGGAGCGGCGATGTGAACTTTAGACTCTCACACTCCAACAAAGAGAGCTTTTGATACGATGGCAATACACACAGAAACTAAACACAAATATGGTTCAGTTTTATCTCCACAGTTATAGCTGCCCCGACATTAGATGAATAAAGGTCCAATTTAGGGCTCCACAAACAAGTCCCAAAAACCAGGTGGACATGGTCTGAATCTGGCTTGTCATAACTGTAGTTTGTCCCAATAATCTTCCACTGCATTGTGTCAACACGACCATTTTACGGCTCCTGGTAAGTTAGGACCTCCCTGATCTTGGTTGCATGTATACTCGGACAAGGAGAGACGTCCGATTCGGTGGAAAAAAAAATAAAAAATTAGGAGCTTTGCCCAATTAAGCTGTGCCTGTAAACGCACTGCTGTTTGTTTCTGAAACTGGTTAATGTTGTCAACTAACATTAGCTGACCCATAATTATCTTTATACTTTTAGCCACAAGCAGCCTGGTTGGCGACTAGCTTAGCTAAAGACTTAACATGAGCATACAAACATCAGCAGCAGCTGTCCAGTGTAGACCACGTTAACTTTAGTTGGACTTTGCAGAACAAGCAAACTTAGTTCACCTTTGGGAAAGAAAGCAGTCAACAGCTGCCTCCCCTCATTCTGCCCTCTTTCTTTTTCTTTCCTCTCTTTCTTCTTTTCATACCCTGATTTATGTTTTTAGGGCAACATGATGTCTAACCCCCAGATCATTCAATCTCGGCTAACTGACATTACACTTGTTGTCGTTCAGGTGAACTAAACCAAGAAGAAAAATAGGCAAGGTGCTTTCAGTGACAAAGTTTGATGATTTTTATTTTTCTTCACCCACAATCAGCGACTTCACCACTATCTGAGCTGAGTTAGAAACACAAAAACAGTTGAACAATTGAATATGATTATTATTAGAGTGATTGAAAAGCTCATAACAACATGTTGGAATATCCATAGAAGCCACGAATACAAATATTCAGCAAACAGAGAGAGCACATATCATTTGAAGTGTTTTTGGGGAAGACAGGAAAGACTTTAGACAGTTGAATTTGGGACAGGAAATAAGGTGGTACTTTTTTCATCTTTCTGTTATTTTGACGTCACTTTTTTCTCTTAAGTCTCAGACCTTTAAAATCTGCACCAACTGAAGGTGATTTCAACAAATGATCATCTTGATGTTGTTGCTATAAAACTTAAGTGAAGATTTTTAAAATGAGAAATACAAACAATCAAAGTTATCCACAATCACTGTCCTTACAGCTGCGACCAAAGTAGCATTTTTAAAAAAGAATGAAAAAGGTAAAAAAGAAAAACTAAACCGAGAGTTTTTGGTGAGACTGATCCACAAAAATTTACAAACCAGAACATTTCAAGAGTTCAGTGATCTCATTTACATGTTTTTGGTCTGATGGACTCATTTTTTTTTTTTTTGTTTGGTCACGTCACTAAACTCAGCAGAGCCTCCATTAGCCCATGATAATGCCACTCCAGCATGTAGCGGCTGAGTGAATGTGGTCTTAACTCTGTGGAGGAGAGTCATGGTTTCAGAGACGCTGTAGAAGGACAGAATACCTGCTTTATGATCCAGGTACACTCCTACTCTGGAAGACCGAGGACCTGAGACACGAGTGAAGACACTGTTGTGAAAAAAATCATACCTGTCTTTATAACAGACTAACCTCCAAGATTTGTCATTGCATCCAAATCCACAATCCCCTGACCACCCTGCTCTGCTGATAGTCTTGTAAGCGACTGCTACATGGACCTCGTACCCTCTCCGCTCCACCTCCCAGTAACAACGTCCAGTCAGACTCTCTCTACTCAGGACTTGAGTATAATCAATGAATCTGTCTGGGTGATCAGGATAAGACTGTTGTTCTTCTGTATATGTTGCTCTTCTGTTTGCAACAGATAATAACAGCTTTCTGTGTGCTGTGTTTGGATCCAGTGTGATTCTTTGTGAATATCTTAAGAAATCAGCTCTGGTCTTGGGTTCTGGTTCTGGTTCTGGTGGTTCTAACAGTAAAATATCCACTTCACTCACTGCCTGTGAGACGTTTGTCCACGTCTCTGTCAGAAGATCCTGGAGTTTATCTCTGACCTCTGACACAGCTGCTGTCACCTCCTCAAAGTATCTCTGAGGACGGATGTTGATCCTGGATGAGTCTGCAGGTTGACCCGGTCCTGACAGTGGGGGATAGCCGAGCAGAAACTGGTTGTGGTCCTCTGTGAGTGAGAGCTTCAGCAGATCAGCGTCTTTCCTCTTCAGCTCAGTGATCTCCTGCTCCAGCTTCTTCTGAAGCTCTTTGACTCGACTCACTTCACGTTTCTGCTGGGATCTGACCTGCTGCTCCACCTCAGAGTGATGTTTCTCCATGAGACGGATCAGCTGGCTGAAGATCTCCTGGCTGTGCTCCACAGCTTTATCAGCAGAGCCGTTGATAGCCTCCACCTCCTGTTGGAGCAGCTTCACATCTTTCTCTCTAACCTGGATTCTCTGCTGGATGTTTTCTCGACTCTCCTCCAGATCTTTCTGCCTCTCAGTCCTTTCTGCTGCAGCTGAGACTGTGTTGTGGCCTTCGTGTTGGCCCAAACAGCAGATGAAACAGATAGACTGTTGATCAGTGCGACAGAAGATCTTCATCACCTCACCATGACGAGAGCAGACTTCCTCCACTAAACCTGCCAACATGGTGTTTTTCTGCAGGACAGGCCTCGGTGTGAAGGTCCGTCTGCACTGAGGACAGCTGTAGATCTTCTTCTCATCCTCTTTATCCCAGTGGGCTTGAATACAGCTCATGCAGAAGCTGTGTCCACAGGAAACAGCCACCGGATCCTTCAGTCGATCCAAACAGATGGGACAAGAGAAAGATTCACGGTCCAGCTGAACTCCTTTCTGCGCCATTTCAACACTCACTGTCGACGATGACTGACTGACTGAGTTTTATTTCCTCAGAAGTTAAACTAGTCTGAGCTCTTATCTCAACAACATGTGTGTGTCAGCAGGATCTGCTCAGCACAAGATAGTTACACACAAACTCAACTGTAGATCTAATGAGGAGGGAACAAGGAAGTGTGTGTGCAGAGTGGAGTGTGCTGTGTGAGAGACGAGGGAGGGGAAATCCAGTTTTTTCTACAATCCATGAAGAGGAGTGGCGATGTGAACTTTAGACTCTCACACTCCAACAAGAGGAGGTTATTAAAGCTGCAGCGGTCCTGAAGATCAACTGCACCAACATTTCACTAAATGCATCAACTTTGATCACCTCATATAAACCTCATGATCACAGGAAGATATGGAATCAGATTTGTGTCAAAAATAATCAAACAAAACCTCTTCAATATCAAACAGAAATAAAATTTGAGAGAGAATAAAACTCACTGAAGCAAAAAAAAGTCATTCAAAAGTAAAACATGTAACTTGCAAACAAATTATTTGTGCAATTGTGTAAACTACTGCTCTTTTACTTTTTGTCATATATCCTTTAGTTTACAGTATCCTCTGGTTCTTTCTCGCTGCTCAGACTTTTGCTCTCACCCTCAGTTTTACAGTCTCGCTGCCAGCTCTCTCGTTTGTGCTCCCTGAGTTTTTGTTTGCAATTCTGACACAAACCTCTCGTGTGGGCGGGACTATTCAGGGGTGCGGCGCCATTAGCTAGTGAGTTTTTCAGTGACAGCTCAGTGGTCGGAACTTGCTCAGTGCAGCACGCGTGAAAAAACAAGGCGGACACCCTGATCAGCAGCACTGGACACACAGTAGACCTAGATTAATGAAGTGTAAGTATTGGCCATTTACATATGTTGTCTGTGCTGTGCTAGATGTTTTGTTGGGTTAAGTTACTAATGTTACACTTGTCTCCGGTTGCTGTCAGGTGGACTAAACCATTTTGCGCCTCCAAGAGGGGGCCCCCAGGATGTCCAATATGTTGAGAAGACTGTGACATAAAGTTCATTCTCTCAGTTGATATTATCAATATATTTGAAATAAATTATGACACCAATTAATTGTAGGGCACAATTAATTGGAAATAATTTAATAAAAAGGGGCCCCTCTCTCTACTCGGGCCCTGGGTAGTCAGGTCCACTTTTCCCACTACTACCACGCCCATGGCAGCAACTGTCTCTTTGTATGTTTTTGTTCTTAAAAAAAAAGAAATAATCTTTAATGGCTGCCAATTGAACTGAGGAGTGTTTTAATTTTGTTTTAAGGGCATTGTTTCAATTTTCCATGGTTTGAGTCAAGTTAATTGCTTTACAGTAAACAACTTAGTGTAAATTGAACATTAATTAAAAAGCTACACAAATAGGTAACACTTAAAGTAGAAAATTAAGCTCTAGTACCGCACACTCAAAATTAAGATGTGAACCTTGTTACTGAACACTTAGAAATTTGTAATTTGTAATTTGAAATTTGTATTTCAAACTAAAGATAAATAAGTACCATGCACTCAAAATAAATAAGTTAGCATAGATTTTGATTACTCAAATTAATTAAGTTAGGGTTAGTAACATGCACTTAAAATAAATAACTTATGTGAACTTGCAGAAGTTAAGTTTATTTTTCTTGATTTCTTTTAAGGCAACGAGTTTCCATATTTGTTTTAAGTAAACTCAACCTGTTTTGTTGTACAGTGCACGCACACGACTGTTCTATAAGCTTTTGATACGAAGGCAATACACAGAAACAAAACACAAATATGGTTCAGTTTTATCTCCACGGTTAAAGCTGCCCCGACATTAGATGAGTAAAGGTCCAATTTAGGGCCCCACAAACAAGTCCCAAAAATCAGGAAGGCGTGGTCTGAATCAGGCTTGTCATAACTGATTATTTGTCCTTATAATCGTCCAGTGCATTGTGTCAATATGACCATTTTACCTCCCTGATCTGGGTCCATTAATATTAAACATGTTAAAAGTCAACTATTTCAAGCTGAGCAGCCTCCAGCAGAAAACCCAAATAAATATATGAGAGGACCCACAACTCAGAGTCATAGCAGCTTATGTAAAAATAATTGTTCCTCATTACTACAGGACTTTTTTTTCTCTGAGTAAAGATTTAGAATATTTACAGTAAGCATTATCAGGCTAAAACTAATATGTCATACAAGAGAGACAATGTAATGTGGCCAACAAGGGAAAGGTGTGGTCTTTACTAAGAGATCTGGTGTTTTTCCTTAACCACAAATGTTAATTATGTGATCAGGCAGTCTTTCAAATTATATAAAGTGTGTTTTTAGAGTACTGCAATGTTAAAAAATGTGTCTAAACTGCCCTTTTGTGAAGAATCTCACATTATTTAAAATTGGATGAGATCTAAAAGTCGTCTAACAGTTGCAATTGTACGTTCAGATTTTGTCATACTTTCCCTGAAAACTGGAAAGTTTGTCTCAACTTGAGCAAAGTATGATTGCAGTTAATGCTGCAAAACTTTCCTGTCAAAGCTAGTTTCACCATCTACAGTATCACCCCTGACCAACACTTCACTCTAACTTTTGTGTTTTTCATTGCATCAGTTAACTCATAATTCACTTCAAACAATGAAAAGGGAAAGCATCCAGAATTGAAGCTACAGGGATTTCCTAAGAGTCAGATTTTGAAGGGTTGGGCCAATAACCGAGCTGCCATATACGCGATGAGTCGGAAGGTCAAATGTGATGAAATGGTCGCCTGTGGCTTCCTCAAAGTATAAACTTGCAGAAGTGTTGAGTTCATGGTGTCTTTCACAGTACACTTCTCAGCAGGATTCGGCTTCCAGGAGAGCCGCTGATGTTTTCATTTTTCGGAATATTTCAGATAGTTACCAAGTTGTGCTAATGACACCCCAACCTCCCCTCACATGCCTCCACTGCCTCCAAAAATAAACCATAATTAGCTGCTGTATTGATTCATGCACAGGCACTGGAAGAAAAAAAACAAAAAAAACATTTGGAGTTTTGGAAATTGACCGCATTAATTACGGCTCTTTAAAATGCATTTGGTTCACAGAGAAATATGTAGATCATCTGTTGGAGGCAGTCACAACTTATTAAATATGGAAAGCAGGGAAAACAGAGCTTGGCAGGCTTTATCATCCACACACACACAGCCTCTCATTCACACATAGAGACCTCCTATGGGCAACTGGTGATATATAAAAACAACAACACCTCTCACACAACATATGCACATATAATATACACACAATACCAACAGGAATGCATAAGCACTTGAAGAGCACACTCCTCCCGGTCTCTTCAGTACCACAGTTTACACTCATTAGCTTATGCTGAGCAGCAGGGACTTGTGTTGATTACTGTAATATTAATGCACAGACATCTGCATTCAATACACAGACACAAACTCAGGTTGAGAGTTCAGAGGAGCGAAACAGCAGCCAAGCTCAGTTCTGAGTGAATTTTTAACATCTGAACAGAATCAAAAGAATTAAACCCTGCCTGCATGGTGAGTTTTGAATCACATACCTCTGCTCAGTTAGGAGTTTTAACAGCTTTTGTTTCCGTTTTTTTGGGTCTAGTTATTTCTTGTTTTATTCGTATTTGTCAAATGCAGCTCTAAAAGACTAAATTTGGTTAAACTTTAATTATAAATCAGGGCTGCATGGTTAATTAAATTGCAATCACGATGTAAGAGCGTGCAATAATATGACGGCACAGAAAGCTGAAATCTGCAATTTGAATAAATGTGCTCATGTGTCTGTGTTACATATTACAGCCAGGAATGCCCAGAAGAAGTATTGGAGATGTCAAAGACCAATTATTGATGAGTCATTAAAAGAACAATGACAAAAACAAAACCAAATATGATTTTTCCTAGTAAGTGTATTTACCACAGCAACATAGTGGATACAACTGGTGGTACTGCAAAGCTACAGAGCATATAGAGGTGTACAAAATGTTCAACACGTCTAACATTAACATGCAGCCCAGGCTTATAAATATAAAGAGCAGACGTATTGTCATGCAGAGTGAAGCTCGAACGACGAAAAGTGGAACTGGTGCAACAACAGAGATAAATATGTCAGGTTCACAGTGTCCGGTTTTCTGAATATTTTTCACACAGACACGGTCAACTCTCATCATACTTTACCTCGTTAAGTGTATGCATTACTTTTTTTCTCATTTTCCTTAAAAATAAGATAGATTTGTTTTCATCTGGGGGATTGTCATCAGTCACGTAGGCGACAAGTCACATTTGTGTAACACACGTGCACACACATAAAGCAGCTGCAGCAAAACGAACATAAGCTACAATGGAGGGAGGAGAGAGGTGCGCGTTCACAAGCTGGAAATACAGCCACTATTTTGACTTAGTGTCAACAAAAGATAACATTGATGTTTACTGTACACTCTGTGCTGGTGATTCGTTAGAAGAAATCAAACTGAAAATGGACCATTCCCTTGCAAACCACTGCAATGATAGGAAGCTGCGGGTTTTCTAAACTACTTGTTACATGCTGTGTCCTATTTTATGCATATTTTTCTGGTGGCAATTTGGCAGAAAAAAAAAAAAGTTAGTTTTGTCCAACAAAAACGATTCCAGACAATGTAGTTCAATGCATGATTCTTTTACCGAGTGATTCAGGCGTCAGTGCATGTGGTCCCTCGTTCGCCAGCTTCTCGCCTGGCAATGCTGCATGCTATGGCAGCTTCTGTGCTGACAGCTCAACTGAAGTGAGAAACAAACAAATCACTTGAGCAAGTGATTTGGTTCAGTACGTTTACTTAAAAGATTTGGTTCTTTTGAACGAATCGTTCGCGAACGACACAACACTTCGTCAAAGATCAAGTTTACGCATCAGAATAATGAACCCAAAGATAATGATTTACTTTATGGAAATTCTTTAGTGTGTAAACACATGATTATTTCAAAATTGTTTGATCGGTCGGATGACTCAAAACTCTTCACAGCTCATCTAAAATTGGACTCTTTTTGTGACTGTTAGTCGACAACCATGCAGTGCTTCTTCGACAGATTGCAAAACTCTGAGTTTGTACAGGTCATGGAGGTGCTCAGAATCAGAAACTATTCTTGCTTCTGGACCGTATGACAAGTTTTACAGGCACATATATTGACACTCTTAAGATTTGACTGAAGAGAAGGTGAGTC